ACAAAGTAGTCTACAGTGTGGAGGCTAATGGAATTCAGTTTGCGAAATTCGCCGAGTAACTTTCTGGTCGTCTATTAATATTCATGTGTGCAAAGTACGTATCAATTGCATATTCGGCGCAAGGTCGTCTGCCAACCGGGCAGATAGATAGTCAAACTGTCAGATACTCGCACTCATGCAAACTCTGTGCGCAATAATCAAGCAAATTGAGTGCAACGCAGACAGACGCTGGCGCAGCCGTATCTATCGGATACTCTTTTGGCAAACTCCCATCGATATCGGCTCGGTTCGCAGCTAGACGGCTAATTACGTGACATGTTAGACGCGAAAACAAGTTAAACACGCTCGTTCGATTTGTGTAATTAATTGCAGGCTGAGACGAGCGAGAGCTCAAAAACAAATTCACCTCGAAATGTGCATTGAACTTTTGCGCTTGCTTTTCTCGCCGCCATATGAATGTTGTTTTCCCTTTTTCGTGGCTCGCTTTTTTGTAACCAATTCTAGTTGCACTCCGCAGTGATAACCCGCAGATGAACTCATGGGCGTTGGGCCTTCCACTTTGGAGGGGCACGCATTCCGAGTGGGCTGGTTGGTGGGTGGAATGGGGCACGAGCAGCTGACGCAGCTGATGTGTGTGTAAATGTTGCAGCTTGTAAACAAACGGCGGGCAAATAACGACAAAGTCGGAGACGAAACTCCAAAAATGTTCCTTATTGTTTGCTGTATTGACTTCATCGCTGGGCTTATCGCTAAGCGTTGTCAGATCGAATAAACATTCACATGTACATACATGGGGTGAGTGTGGTGGTATCTGCAGTGGGGCCTCCCTATGACGAACTCTTTGTTAGAATCCCACTAATATTAGTTGGACTTTTTGCTTTCATGCTAATTATTTTTGTAATAAAATGAGAAGAGAAGAAGTATAGAAGTAATTTAAGCTATGCTTGCCATCAAATTATTTTCATTAGTTCATAATATATTTCCTTAAACGATCCCCCTAATTGTTCCTAATTTTTAATGAGCTGGAACTTCTCTTGCGAATGGCAATTGGGCGGGGAAAAGCCTCCAGTAATCTTGACTCAAAACAGGAAGCACGCTTATGAATTGGAAGAGTTGGAAGCCAACGCAACGGATCACAAGTCGGGGCTGGCCTAGAATGTGTGTCAATGGTGATAAGCAAATGCGAGGGTGGGAAAACTATTGTATAGATCTGAACGGACTCGTTCGATTCTGCTCGATTGAATACAGTTTGCATTCGTTATAGGGGTACTTGCGTGTCCCACTCCGCGTGGCCCACTCCTCCGAGTGTGCCTGCCATGACTAATTAAGTAACCAAAAAGTATGAAAAGAAGGCAGAAAGCTGCTCAAATTCTCAGCATTAAAACGTGCCGACAACTTTGTAAAGGCTGCCAGAAATGCACATTTTTATTTATATTCTCATACAAGTTGTTGGGACATGCTTTGGGGAGTTGGAATCGATGCGAAGGGTAACTCAGCTTGCACGTGGATTTGAGAGTATCTGTTGGGATAATAACAAATATCTTGAAACAACCTGAACATATTCAGGTACTATTATAATCTTTATTGTATTATATTTTTTAATTTTTTGCTAGACTTAGTAAATCGGGTATCCTAAAGCAACTGCAAATATACGTATTTAAAGATATCCCCAAGATATACCCGGACCAAAACAATAGGAATGAATGTGAATAGGTGGTTTTCTTGGCCTAAGCAATATAGATTTTTTTAGAAACTGAATTAGAGTACCACTGGGTGTGCTATGATGGGCTGGAGTTCGTATTCCTGCCATGTGCAGTTTCGATTCCCGGACTTTTCTGTCCGTGTGAGTCATGAGCATTAAGCATAAAACCGACATTTAGCTGATTGATCTTAATAAGAATTTGTGCGGCAGGGCGGATCATTCGGGCGGAGGATGGCTAACGGATCGCTGGGATCGTTGGGACGGGTCAATAACATTGTGCGGATGCCTCCTCCTGATTTTCCCCAAAGTCCTCCTATGGACTCCCGATTCCGAGTTCCCGAATTTGAGGGCGTTGCTGGGCTGCGCCTGCGCAACATAACAAACTTTGTGTTTGTTTCCCTCACTCGCTGCCAGTGCTCGTGTGCAGTTTTTAATAACTTTTGAGTGGAAGTCAGGAGTTTGGAACGCGAAGGAGCTGGGGCTGCCTTGTCGGAAATCTGAGTTTGCTTTGCTGAGTTATGGTGCACAGGGGGTTCGATTCATCAGACTTGGTGCGGGCCTGTATCTCTCAGATACTGAGAGACGATATATATCTGCGATTTGCACTTAGCCGGGCGCAGAACGGATGTCTGTGCTCGATTGTTAATTGAAATTTGTCGCCAAAAAGCAGCAGAATTTGCAAAACAAATTTCTGACCGAAGTGTCTGGCCTGTTGCATATTTCATATGTTTTGATTCTTGTCAAAGCTTTAGCTTTTTGGCGATTCCTCTGCAGATTTATGCGCAAGTGCTTAATCGAGGCTGGGATACAGTGGAGGGTGGAAAACTGTGCCAAAAACAGCAGCTTTCATTCAAAATCTACGCTAAAATGTAAGACTAGATCTAGCGTTTTTTCTTACATATTTCTTCTGAGAATATTTCGTGCAAACAAACAAAAACGCCATAAATCAATTCACTTTTATTTGACTTTTCGAGTGCATTTGATTTCTGCTCTCAGGGTGAGCAATTGCGCAACATCTACGTCGATTTTTGGCCGTCTAGCGAACAAATTAAATCAAGCTGCACGGCCGAACAAGAAATATAACCTGAATTCGATGTCTGCAGCTCAAATTAAATGCAATTAAACTGAAATTGATAGATAAATTCAAACGAATCCAGCTCCGTCCACTCCTCTGCTCCTATGATGGCACTTGACAGCTTCTCCTCCTCCAGATCGCCTTTTCGTCGTCCTTCAGACATCTCGAATTTCGTCTAGCTGAAGTCTACGCCTCTAAGGGGCTTAGAAAAAGGCCGAGTCTGAAAAAAGCCCCTGGGCTTCGGTTTCGGAGTTGGGGTTCGCCTGTCTGATCCCTGTCTGCTTTGGTGGCTCCTTTGTGCTCGGGTTAGATGTTAGTCAGGTTTGGACCTTTTTTTATGTTGTTTGGGTTGGTCTGCCGAAATGCTGGGTCTTTGTTTTGATTTCGCATTTGATATCATTTTTCGGCATGTGCAAAGGGGTCGGAGTGTGGGGGAATGTCGCTCTCCAGGCGGGATTTTGCATATATAATAAGCTGAACTTTAGAGCTGGCAATAAGTAGCGAGTCTGCTTTATGCTATTTAAATTAAATAAGTAATGTCATTATACAGTAAGAAGTACCGAGTTGCTTAACCATTTATATTATTAACAATTTAAATGCTAAGTGGAGTTGGATAAGATGATACTGTTTTCGAAAATGTATTTTCTGTTCAGAATTTTGTGCAATAGAATATTTTATTTATATGTTTAAACTGTTGTAAGGTAATGGAATTATATGGAAATTTTATTTCCCTATAGTCCTAAGTAGCTCAATTACATGGTAGTTAAAGGACTGTAGCTATTAACCATATCATTGATTACAATTGTTTGTACATGTATTAATCTCCTGTTTTAACTACTACCCATCGCAGCTAACAGTTTACAGATATTTTCATTTTAATTTGATATTGACTTTGATTATTTGTTATTGTACTGAAGATTTAAGCTCTTCAAGTACATTTCACAGCTAACTAGGTTAACTTACCCTCTTGTTATCAGAAACGTAACTACTGTGAGTTATTTCCATTCGTTTTTTTTTATTAAATTTTTATACTATATCCAAACTTTTTTGATGTGTGTGTTTTCGCGCATCTCTGGCGAAAATCACTCTTCCTCTAGCTCTCAATCTTTTGGCTGCCGAAAAAGTGGCCAGACGAATGTCCACATGTGTTGTGTGTGCAGTATATAGTATCTGATGTCTGGACTTTTATTGTATGGCTGACCTTGAATTTATGGAAATTGCATAAGTGGGAACAACTTTGTCATATTAAGAAATGTACTGGAACGAAGAGAGCCATAGAAACCCGCAGGCAGCGATGGTGACATAAACGACCAGACCTTGGCATTGTGTTGAAGGACTGTGAATCAAATTATTCGAGGAAGTAGCTTGAATTATGGCCCAAGGGGGCACTTTGAATTTATGAGTATTCAGGATATTAAGATTGTCTTTTTTCGCCGACCACATCCATCTTCCACACCCCGAAAACCATCCGAAATCCGCTTCCTGCTGCCAAATAATTTACAACTTGCGAATGCGATGCACAGGCTATGGGCAGAAACAAATAATGATCAGTCGCACATAATGCATGCATATATCCATGGGCATATCGATAACCCTTATCAAGTGTGCGGCATCGCGGCCGAAAAATACAAATTATGCTTAACAAAAACAGAAGAACATAAGCCCACATAACTCAATGGTTTCGGAATACTCTAACTTACACTGAAGTGAGAAATGCTTACCCACAAATGAACTTTATGAGGTCTCCTTGAAACATTTTAAACTAGTATATTTTTCAAAATTCTAGAATTTTTTAAGGTAATGTTATAAAACGAACTCCTAATAAGTGTACGAAAAGTGCAAATTTGTTGTACCTACTTAAGTATTCATAAGTATATACGTGGTTATAGCCTCAGTGTGTGTGCGGTTGGTCGCCCCAAGCCTCCAAAGGCGTGGTGGGCGTGGCACTTTCGAGTCTGGGCAACCCATCCAATCATGACTCTCACAAGCTCTTTCAAAAATTAGCCCACCTTGAACCTGAGTTTATCAAATTGCAGTCATTTGTGTGTGGTTTTTATAGTACTTTCAAATAACTGAGTTTATTTCGAGTTTTGATCGAGTTTTTCACTTTCAGCCAATTTGAGGATATTTGAAGAGATGTTATGTACATATCATAAAAGGTAGTCAGTTCGTAAAATGGATTTATTATACAGAATGGGCTTAAGAAAACAATACACTTTAAAATATTTGTAGATCCCAAACAGCGTTTGCCCTCACTAAATCGACAAAATTTGATGTAATTCGAGTAAAATTAAGAATCAGTGCGACATTCAAGAGTGACTAAATTATTGTTCAGAATGACCAAGGGCGTGAGGATTTCCAACGATGGATTGCCTGGCCTGCCGAATGAAAGGCTATATGCTCGAGGAACCAGCGATTCGCGCCAGAAGTCTCAGAAGAAGTGCTCCAGGCCATCCAGGAAGCCACTGCAATCGCTACAAACTGCCGATCGGAGCACTAGCTCCTGCAGCCTGAGGTACAAGGGAAGTCCGCTCTCCGAGGTAGAACTGGGTGTGCTGGTGCAGCAGGATTGTAAGGCGGAGAAGCATCACACCGACCGCCAGAACTTGGCGGACATAATCCTGATGCAGGCTCGTCGCATCGAGAAGCAGCAGCGCGAAATGCACAGAATAAAAGCGCACTATGAGCGCCAGGTGTCCACCATCAAGAACAATGCCATCATGCTGGAATCCCATCTGCAGAAGGTGCTGGCGAGTGTCGAAAGGGATCGGGCCAAGCGGATGGGCCACCACTGCCAGGACATGTTCGGGGCCGTGGAGAGGCTGCAGAAGAGCGACATCCAAGTGAAGCAATCCAAGCCGCAGTCTGTGGCCAGCCAACTGCTGATCCAGTATCTCCACTCCAAGGCAATTTCGCATTCGACCAAGAACTCCAATAAAAACACAGGTAACTACAGGAATATGTTGTGATTCGTACCCATGTATTCCTGTATGTACATTGTGTTTTCAATGGGTTTTCTGGTCAGTTTAAATTATCAATAAAAGACCAGTTGCATCTTACACATTACATCTTAATTCAATCTTAAAAGGATACTTAATGCATAAAATATAATGTTTAATAATAACGCCCAATAATAAGGGTGCAATGAATGATCTAGTATTTTAAAATAAACTGATATAGCATGGTTTGGAACACTATAAATATAGTAATCACGTGTGCAGGTGCTAAGCAGTCATTTATTTAAAAATATCTGGAATCATAACAACCTTTTATTTCATTTTTAAATGTCAGGTCCCCACTGAAAGCCCTCAAAATCCCAACAGACATTCCGATCCGGAAGCTATTTTTCAATAGACGACAAGCAGTGTGTTTTGGACTACCAAAATTTAATTCGTCCAGCCCGATGCCGTACCACGACCGGGCCAAAGCCCGTTTGGAAAACGAGGTGGTTCTCCTGCGACGCGAGGTGGCCTCACTGCGCTCCAGGCATATCCAGCATCGTAAGTATCGACAGGAACAGGCGGTTCTACAGGCGCGCTTGGAGCAGGAGATCCAGCTTCTACAGAGGGAACTAGCCGCAGCTCAATTGCATCGCAATGAGCGGGAGTGCGGTGGAGCCGAACAGTGTTCCCGCTTAAACCATCAGGTGGAGAAACTGGACGAGCACGTGGTTAAGCAGGAGAAGTACATTGCCTTCCTGGAGGAGCAGATCAATCACACACGTAACAAGTACCAGCAACGGATGACCGATGTCCGGCAGAATGCCGAACTGGTGGAAAAGGAGCTGAAGCGGGTGCGCCGCGAGATTAAGGCCATTACCGAGCAGGCTGGAGCAGTGGACAGCCTGCAGCAACAAGTGGGTTTCCTCAGCGCCAAGCTGGATCGCCGGAACGCCATCATCTCCAAGTACGAAGCCCAGCAGGATGAAATCATAACTATCATGGCCAGTCTCCAGAAGCAGAAAGATAAAATTAGGCGTGATCAGAAGATCCATATCTCCCATGACGACAAAGCTGATTCCAGTTCGCTGCCCTCTGAACAGCCACTTCTTCTAAAGCCGTGTCTACAGAAGACGAGTGATCGAAAGAAACAGCGCAAGCAACTCAAGTTTCGCGAAGGTGTTAAGGAAGATTCCAGCTCGACAGATCCTGATAAGCCACCAGATTTTGAGGCGAGTCACAAGCCCTCAAAAAGCGCCTCCCTCAAGTTAGTCAGTCTATCCTCTGCGCTGAGAAGTAAGTTAAGTAACCAGGAACAGCCAACTGTCGACCAATGATCTGAAGTCGTGCCCATTTTCTGATGGATACTCAAATTTATGGTTTTTAGATCAGCTTTTACCAAAATTTCCTCTGTAACTGAATATCTTTGTTAAAATTTGTATGTACATACGTACAGAATTCTCATATAAACAGTGAACTAAACTTCCGTGAACGGAACTTCAGTCAGCACTTCGTTTTCGACGGGCGTCGGAGTTCCTAGAACTCCCGATTTACAAGTTCATTGACAAGCTGCTGGATTATCCATTCAGCAGTATGGAATCGGGTTAACGATCCGGCTTAATGGATGGGTTTATTTTGATTCAATTTGTGTGCTAAGCAAATGCTCCACTGCTTTCGGTATTGGGAAAGCTTAAGTGATCCGATGATGTAATGAATACACAAAAATATGCTTAAGCCTATTCTTGTAGTGCAGATTTCTACAAAATGCATACGTTCACAGTCAACATGTGTGGAACTAAGATGCAGATGTAACTCTTTTGATTTTCTTCTTCTTATTCAGGTGGGTGGTCGAATCGGATGATTGATAATACAAGTTAGAAATAAAGTATCCACCATTTCTGAGGTAAAGTAGGGAATCCTTATGAGACAATGCGAAGACTGCGGCAGTTCCAGGATTGTCGGTCAACGTTTAAGGATATTTATGGGATCCCCATGTTCGTATGAACAACACTAATGAAAGGAAGAGGTAGACTTGGCTTAGTGGGTATTACAGCCCGGTCTATTAGCAGCAGGTAGTGCTGCTATTTCTAGCCCTGCAATCAAGTCACGTTCGCTGGGTGTTCTAATGCAATATTTTAGCATAAGAGCACGTACCGCAGCATTGCATAAATTCTGAAACTGCCGGGCAATGAGTCAGTACGGGATTGCAGAACGGAGCTAGCTGAAGTCGGGCGCCTATTGAATTCTAATGCTGCACCAGGAAGTGCGTGCAGACATTGGGCAATCAATCGGCGGTCAATTGGAGTCGTTTGTGGATAGCAATTGAGTGTGATTGGATATGGCTTCTGCTGCGGCAATTGGGGCAAAAGTTCAGCAGTTCTTGGACGAGAAAGCCGGTTCTAAGTAGCACTTGGAATAAGCTATCTTATCGGAAGACAGGTTGCCATGAATCACAGTCGCCTAATGATGAAATTAACCAATTCTGGGCTCGATTTATATATTTTTTTTGCATGTTCCGTGGATGGTTCGGGGCAGTCAAACCAGTTCACCCGGCCTTCGAAAACAATTATATTTGGGGTTGGGCGTGTTGTTGTGCAAACACCTCCGAAATAAACCGACGACCCTGAGACTGAAAAATCACGAGTATGTGTACTAGCACCCAAAATATTACACACATAATGTGCGTGACGTCACTGTCTCGGGGGTGCTCCAAAAACCATAGAACTGAAACAAATACAAGGTGGCTTGAAGTAGTTATTATTAGTCCTTAGCGTACATTACATTATGAGATAGATTAAACATTAAATTAGATCCATCTACGTGCCAGAAAAGCTGCGAAAATTGTTTTTCAGCAGCAGGACCACGAAGAAAATGCCCACGGCAATCGACAGAAGCTGCACGTTGACCACCTTCGAGTCCACCAGGGCTTGCAGCATGTTGTAAATACTCTCGCTGCGCACTTCGTTGCCGCAGCAGTCCATTAATGAACTAATATCGAGTAATAACTAATTAGAACGCCAATATTTTGTTTGCAAACAGCTGGTCGGGGGCTAGTGGTGGGACTATTTATTTTTCTCAGTCATCGATTGTTTCCATTCTCTGGGCAACTCTAGTGGGTGAGTGTCTTGGCTAACAGATACAGCAAACTGGCTGTCAACCGTTAAAAATATTAATAATTTAAATAATGTTAATAATAATTTAAAGTATCATACCATATTGTTGTAAGAGTCAGTAGTTCTAACAAATTCATACGTTGGCCCTAATTCTATTTGGAGACATTGAAGAGAGCGTTAGCTTGGGCTCGAACCCGCACTGGAGAACAGCTGATGCTGCTTCGCTAGAAAAACAAATTTTACAAAATTGTTTGGCAAACAGAGCAACAAAACTGATACAATTGCACAGAAACTTAAACTAATACCGTCTGAGTACAAAGCCGTTGATGTTTAGCCTTCCAGCAACCGAAACACACAACTCTCTTGAACTGTGGGTTTAGTTTTATTAATTAGTTTAACATAACTATCTGCTAGTTGGGACGCTTATTCGTCGTTCGCGTAGTCAGCGGGGTTCTTGCGCAGCAGGGCGGCGTGCTTGCGTTCGGTCAGATCGTAGATCAGGTATCCCACGATGAAGGCTAAAAGATTGGGTATTATTGTACGCCTTTATGGAAATCTCCAGCGGTGTACTTACGGGGAGTCACGATGAAGACGTTGGAGCGGAAGCGACGCACCATGTTGGGCAATCCTTTGCTGATCGCTCCGGCGAAGGCGCGCTGCTCGAAGGGCGACAGCTTGTAGGTGACGATGCCGTGCACCTTGGCCAGGTTGCCAAAGTGCTGGCCATTCAGGATCGAGGATAGACGCATGGTTGTGGGGCTGCGGGTGGGGAAAGCTTTGATTAGCAACCGCAGAGGAAGTGCACCAGGATTTGTATGAAGACACAGATCGTTATTATAAACATAATGGCCCTGCCCTGGTGGTTCTCCTATATTTGCTGCCCCCGGAGGTTATGTAATTATCGCACTGCTCCGCGGAAGAAGGCGGCCGAGTACGTCTAACAGTGGGCGCGATCTCTGCACTTTTGGCAGCCCATAATTGTGCATATTTTTAGAGCCAGCACCTGTCATTGCACCGAATATGATGCAAAATTTTTACCTTGAAATTTGACTTTTACGCTGCAAATTTGTCTCGACTCGTCTCACCAGTGTGACCGTGGACGGACCGCTTGAACATGCCAAACAGTTAGGCTTTATTTTTGAAAAATGTCGTAAATGTGCCACAATTTAAGGTTGATGTCTTGGCAAAAGCTTAGTGCAGGCGACAACCGGCCTCAGCTACTTTTGTAGACTTTCTGCGTGGACATAAACCTAATTTGCGATTGCTTTTCTCAATTTATGGGTTTTATTAATTATTAGAGAATTCTCATTGCAATGTTTTATAAAAATATATAATGATGAAGTACTTTGTACAATTGATTATTGAATTCAATGGATAGGCATAAAATCTTACCTTTGCAGTAACAGAAAATGTGGTCGGTATACAAACTTAAATTTCGTGAACGAATCGAATATATTTATTTAATACTTATGGTATTGAAATATCTAGGGTTACTTATCTCTCTTTAATTTTGCGTATTTTGTGTGATTAGGCACAAAGTATTCAAGCTTTGCCTTTAGAGATTGGACACTCATCTTAATGTATGTAAAATATTTTATAAATACTTTTAAAGTATTCAAAATGCAAATGACTAAAATGAGTTTTCATGCAAGAATATTTTTCGAGCAGAACTAGCATTTAAAATATTGAGATAAAGTTAGTTTATTCCTTTATCAATGATTAACATTTATACAGCTATGAGATGATGCATCTTACAATTTAACAATTATTTGCGCGAGCAGGACTACACAAATAGACAAGATTTCACATAAACGGCGGCATCCGCGCACATCCGCTTACAAAACATAGACAAAGGTCCAATACAGGGCGTTGAAGGCCAGGAACATGGCCGGGAAAAGGAACCGGGAGCGCCGGTCTATCCACATGGCGATCTCCTGCGGTGTCATGGTGGTGAAGGTGGGCGGCGTGTCCTTTTTGTCCTTGTCCACGTCCACGATGTGATCGTTGTTCGTGCGCGCACTGCATATAGACACGGTATCGGCCTCGGCGCACTCCGTCCTTATGATGGGTAAATTGGGCTAAGGACATTCGAAAGGATGAAATGCATATCCTGGTGATATCGACAGCGCTCTGGAACACTTACATGTACTGTCAGATAGTTGTTGAAGCCCTGATTCACGGTGCCATTGCCATTGCGCACGCTCTCCGTGCTGGAAACAATGTTGTCCAAGCTGGAACACGATCTCGCCCTGGATTCGTTGCTCAAACTGCCGCCAATTTGACGACGGGCCGGGCGTGGTGTCAAAGTGGATTTTATGATGTACTTGCTGTTGACCTTCTTCAGCTCGATGTTCTCCTTGCGGCGCCAAATGGTGTTCACAAAGGCGAACTCCACCAGGCTGCCGAAGATGAAGAAGGTGCAGCCCAGGAACCACACCTCCGACACCTTTATGTAGCTCACCTTGGGCAGGTTCTTGCTCTGCGACGAGGACAGCGTGATGAACGACAACATGGTGCTGGTTCCTAAGGTATGGACAATTTGTAAAAATAGCTAGTTAGTAAATTCCTTCTCTGAAATGGGTGCAACTCTCTATATAAAAGTGGAACAATCCCTTAATTAAGGCAATATTTTATTACCAGTGACTCAACATAGCGTATGGGCAATGTTGTATATAAATATTACACATACGCAGTGTGCGGCTGGTCAGTAAATAAATTATTGGTTTTGAACTGATGTTTTAATGTAACTTTGTTATATTTTTATTGATTTACCCAGCATAATCCTCGGAGGCGACGCATCCGCCTGCAGCCAAAAGGACACCCAAGAGATAGCCACGATCATCATGGAGGGCAAGTAGTAGTCGAGCAGGTAGAAGCCAATTTCTCGCTTCAGATTGACCGTGAAGCTCAGCGAACTATAGTTGCCAGCTGCATTTAGAGGGTATTTAGTGTTTAGAAAGAGTTCTGCCAGAAACAACTCATGTGCTAACCAAAAGCTCCATGTCGCAGATTGTCCCCATCCGACTCCACTATCGTGGTGTTGTGCCAGAACTGGGCCATGTTGTACTCAGTGAGTCTCATTTCCGGATCGAAGGAGATGGGCGTGTGGGGCTCCCACTCCAGAATCAAATCGGAAGTGTTGTACATCCCTGATATGGGTAAGGTAAGTAAATATATATCCCTTTAGATGTTATGAGGAGGCCAGCATCACTTACAGCTCTCCAGGACCGTGGAGCAGAACTGCTGGTCGAAGGGGAACTTCTGGAAGTTCATCCAGCAGTAGAGACTGGCCTGCATGCGCGTGGAGATGATCACGTTTCCCTCGGGCGAAAGCGAGGTCAGGACGTCCTTCTCGTCCGTGCCCAGGATGCTGGACTCTCGCTCGTTGGCGAAGAAGATGTGCGGCAGCCAGAGGCGTTCGCTCAGGTGCTTCTGGCCCAGAATGTTGTCGCTGCGATTGAAGGCCTTGTACGCCAGCCGCTTGTCCTGGAATCGCAGCTGCAGCAGCGCGTGCATCTTGAACTGCAGCAGGTCGGAGTTGAGGTTCTGCAGGAAGTACACGTAAATCCGCGTCTTCACCACGATGGGCAGGCGCTTTCCGTCCGAGTCGTATTCTGCGCAAGGAAACTAAGTAAATGAAACTACCTTCTATAGATGAGATTATTGAAAATACCAAATGGTCTTTCCAGTCGATCATAGCGGCAGACATGTGTTAACCGCTGGATGAGTTGCGTCTGTTGCAAGCTCCCCGCGTCCGCCATAGAAGGACACTCCTCTTCCTCTGCGTTGACCCTAAAAAAGGTAACAAGATCATTGTTGTTTCTCAGATGAACCCCTTTTGGGACATCCTACTTCACTTAATTTTTCAGATGCGAATGTACTTCAATGATCGCCTTTGTGGAAAATATTAAACAGTAGCCTTCTAGAGATAACAACTTTAGCAAGTTGTAATTGTGCTGTTAATAAGAGGTTTGCTTTGAAAGCGATCTCAAATAACAGTATTTGGGGGCCTAAAGAACGTAACTACATTTCAAATCAAAATGGTATAACATGGACTTTTTGCCTCGTAAAATCAGTTCGAATTAAGTACAATTATTATTCTACTAAAAGCAGTTTGTTAAGCAACTTACAGTAGCACAGAAAGAAAGCTGAACACTTGACTAACTCCTGAAATCTGCGTCCAATTAAGCAATGATTCAATCTAGGAATATTTACAATCCCTAATTAGTGCACAGGAACTAAGGGATGCTGACTTTTTTTGATTAACTTCGATTAAGTCTTTGAAAATGATTGAGTTTTCCGATAGCACTCAAAATGAGTTCACTCGGCTTCAGCTTTTTATGGGCGAGTTAGCCTGACTGAGCACTGAGCACCTTTAAGCAGCTGTGCAAGCTCATTTGCAGCTACCTTAAAATGTCAAACAGCAGAATAAATGACTGAATAAAAATAAATAATAGCAAAATATTTGTCTCCTCATATGGCGCTCGTTATTTAACTTGCATTTTATTTCGTTACTTCGGCTTGTATTTGCTTGCTTGCGCAACAACGAAGTGTTTTAATTCAATTAATCGAGTTGACCTGGTCCCTGGATTCGGCAGGAAACTAATTATAGCCCTGTTGATAAAGCGCTTAGATCTGTAACTTATCCGATAAGAAAACTTCACAGTTCCGCGACCTTTCGCGCACATCAAAGGAGGAACGCCGACTGTAAATAAGTTTCGGTACGTTTCCTTCTGCACCTTCGAGAAAATCTTAATTAAATTCTAATCTACAGGTTTGTTTACGCAAATCGGCAGAGATTTATCAGGGGCTTTGGGGGAATCCTATAGTAGAACACCTGGAAAAACCTACGCATGTGAGATTTCCCAAGGGAAACGGTTACAGGAAATGTTAAAAAGCAAAGTTACCACATTTTTAATGCGTAACCCTTTTTTATCGGCCCCCATGTAAACATTTTCTCGCGAATCTCTTTGGGCAACGTTATCAGACAACCTTTTTAAAGTACCCTATCAAAATGATCTAGATGGGAACTTTCGACGAAGCGTTGTTTACTCAATTTGACTATATCTGTTGACATCTTATGTTTATGTTTAATTGCGTGTTTAGTTTTAACTTTTGGCAGTGGCTTAATACACATATACGAGATGGAAATTTTTGGCAATACTTGTATACAGTAATTTCCAGAAAAGAATATGTTAGCCTTCTTCTGCGGAGAGCAAAGGTCTCATCAAGCGAAGGTGCAATGATTGATAATTTTTGGGAAAGTTACTTCTACTTTGGGGAAAAAGAAACGTGAGAGCAAATTATCGTCTATATTTAGACAGTTCTACCAAAATGTATCTTTATCGGAGCTTTGCTTGAGATACACGGACATGTTTATTTGAATGATTTATAAGATGTATTGCGTGCTGGTTGTTTCGCGGTCAAAACTTACCCAACTGAAGTCCATATGCTGGAGACTAAGATACAGATACAGATCGGATACAGATGCATCATGTGGCTGGTTTTGGGGTTCACAACTGAAACTGTTTTACTTGATTTGGTGGGAGGTTTACAACTTTTGCCTTTGCTGGCCGCTAGCGAAATGATTCGATTTCGTTGGCTTGTCAAATTATATGCTCATGTTTCACACGATCTCCTCGCACATTCACTTCACACATTCACTTTGCAATTAATGCAAATCCACGCCGATCGGTGACTGCGAATTTATCTACGAATTTCCCGCAGTTCTCTCGAGGACGAGTCTGTCTGCCTGTCGCTCCGGTCTGCGTTCGTCGCAGGTTTGAGATCGCGCCGCGTTTGCGCCCTCTAGTAGTGGAGAAATACCAGGTACCGCTCTGCCTCTGCCTCTGGCTCTGCTTCTGCCTCTGCCGACGCCCCAAAACACACTGACTTGTAGGCGGAGAGGCGCTCGGCTTTTTTCGGGCCTGATAAGACCGGCAGATACGACACTCCGGCCTCCGGTCTTGCTCCCAAATCGCAACTCCCAACCGAACCACTCAATAGGAACAGCAGCAGCAGCAACAGCAACAGCAGCAACAGCAGCAGCAGCAGCAGCGATTGCAGCAGCAGTAGATATTGTTAGCTGGTCAAGAGCTGGAAGGCAATAGCGCAGGGTCGATTGGGGATCGGCTCACTTATAAGCATTCTATAGACCATATACTAGACGTACTCAGCCGCGTGCGTTTGCCACTCGGAGAAAAACTATTAAAGATATAGATACGCTTCACATCTGGATGTAAGGCGATAT